GCATTTCCTACGAAAATGCAAGGGTGAATGCCTTGTTGCGCAAAACGTAAGCTGAAAGCTGCAGAAGAAGCTGAAATTGAGCTAAATTTGTAGGAAGTAGCTGAATATAGCAGAAAGCAACTGTAAGAAGCATAAATAGCACCAATTAGCAGGAAAAACCAGAAGAATAGCAAAAAGTAGCAGAACTGTAGCTGAAATAGCATGAAAAGCTAAAAGCTAAAGGCTAAAATAGCTGAATATAGCAGAAAGCAACTGTAAGAAGCATAAATAGTACAAAATAGCAGGAAAAAGCAGAAAAAAGCAGGAAAATAGCAGAAAGTAGCAGAACTGCAGCTGAAATAGCATAAAAAGCTGAAAGCTAAAGGCTAAAATAGCTGAATATAGCAGAAAGCATATGTAAGAATCATAAATAACTCAAATTAGCAGAAAGAAGCACAAAAGTTAAAAAATATCAGAAGAATATTAGAAGGAAGAAGAATTTTAGCTGAAGTGATTGGAAAAGCTAAAACTAGCAAGAATGTAGCTGAAATTGTCACTAGTAATTTAATAGGAGCTAAAGCAGAATATAATGTGTTAGGTTCTGTAAAGATTTAGAAATATTATGAAGAAATTTAAGGATGTTGAATAAAGCTCCATTCATTTCCAATGGGAAAAAAGTAGCCAAAATATCTGTGGCCACAAATATTCAAGTTTCTTGATGCTAAAGGCATTCACCCAATGAATGGTGGCAGAAAGAAGAAAAAATAAATCTTATAGTATCTGCACCTTTTTCTCCCCAAGATTAAAATTTTAAACAATAATAATCTACAAACAAGAAAAACTAACCAAAAACAGCCTCAAATCCTTGTTGAACAACATTTCGTATGAATACACATATTTCTTGCGTTTTGTATTTTCGTTCAGATTGTGTTAAAGATTATTCTCTGATACTACAGCTATGTTTGTTTAAAATGGTTGAATTATAACCATTTGTAAAAATTAGTATTGGCGTTAGTGGTTATCTTAATTTGGGATTTAAATGGACAAATTGCATGAGATCATTCTTAGCTACTCCACAGCAAATTTCATCTCAATAAGTCTTAAAATGGCTAAATTCTAGCCTTTTAAAATTAGCTGTGGTGGCCATTTTGAATTTTTGATTAGCATTTATAATTTGATAAAGATAGTTTTGGCCACTTCTACTTCTGTGACGTTTTGAGTAATTATTAATTAACAAAACAAACAAAAACAAGAACAAAAAAGATCAGCTTGCTAGATGTGTTGAATCCATGTATGAGTTGTTCTTTCGTTTTGTCGTTTTAAAATAAAATGAATAATCTAGTGTTTGTTTTTTTGTACTGAAAAAACTGTAGCCTTTTTAAAATTTGCAAATGTCTTTTTTGTATTCATTTTATAATGGTAAATGTAAAGACAACCATTTTATATTTTGTTAGTGCACAATTTGTTACTTTGTAGTAGAACTGGAAATCATCATGGCARAAACTCTTGGTGCATTAGATTTTCACTTAGCATGAAATAGCCTTTTTAGAAGAAGTCGATTCACCTTGAGAGCTATTTTACTGTAAACTAAATTGCTTTAGTATTCAAAGTTATGCAGAATCACATTTGAGTGCAGCCATTGCTAATATCTTTAGGATCGGTTTCCATTTTTTTAGCAGTCTTCTAGGCATTGCTAACTCATCTCCTTTGGTGACTTCCATCATTTCTGGTATTGCTAAATATATAAACATTCATCCATTATCTAAATCCATTTCTTCCTTTCAGGGTAACGGGGGTCACTGGTGCCTGTTCGAAGGGCAGGGTACACCCTGGACAGGTCGCAAGTCCATCACAGAACATATTAAAACCAAAAACATATATTTTACTTTGGATTTAAGTAGCTAAAGCAAAAATCAAACACTGTGGATTTTTAATTAGTTTGATTTTACATTTTTACATTTAGGTTTTGAAAATGGGGAAAAAAACAGTTGTTTAATTAAAAAATGGAACCTGTCCAGAGGAGCTATGATTTTGTTTAAATTGTGCACAGTCTGGTGTAATWTTGCCAGATCTCCCATGGCCCATTAGCTCTTGAAGTATATGTAAAGGATGACTCTGCTTCAACCCTCACTGAGTCAATCTTTTTGTATTCCTTGATTAGCTGTGGCAGCCATTTTTTATTGAGCTAACTCTAGAAGTTTGAGTTTTAAATGTACTTTAGATGATAGGTTTTAGATGTCATTGTAATTTTAAATATGTAATTTTTATTTTACTAAAATCTGTCCAGTGGTTAATGAGATATTTTTGCTACGAGACAAACGGGGTTATTGCCAATTATTAATACCAGAGTTCTGATCTAGCCCTCAGTTTACACAGGAAATACATTCCAGCTACTACCACTTTGAAGTTTAGCTCAGTATCTGTAAAATTGGTTGAGTTTTATCCATTTCTGTTTGTTAGGATCACTTAACTCACTGTAAGGATGTAAGAAATCACTCAAGCCCTGATTATAGATTTTAAGTTCACAATTCTGATTATCTATTTTTTTTTTCAACAAAATGAATTGTAGCCAAATATGTTTCCTTTCTTTCAACATTACCATTGATGTCCTTGTGTCAAACTGTAACTGTCTGTTGTCTCAATAACAGAATATAACTTCATAATAAATAAATAAAAAAGTGTCATCACAAATCTTTTTATGACCTAAAGGGCAGACGTCTTCAGTGGGGTTGACTCCAAAAGTTAACCCGTTTCAGAATAGAATAGTCTTATTGTATGTGCATCCAATTATTTTGCTTATTTTGAGAGTTTCATTAAAATTTGCCAACTTGTTCATGAGATATTTTATTAATTCTACAAACCAGTGAACAGATAAAGACTGGGTACAAAATGTTATTGCCTTCCATGGCTGGTGATAAAACTATGATCACAAACAAACTTGTGTTCTTTGCATTTTGACCTGAAAATTTAGAACTTACTAGTTTTCAAAACTGTAAGACGTCACTCTGTTGATCATCTGATTAAATAATAACTAAAGGTTGCTATTCTACTTCACAGTTATGCCTGTGTCAGCGTGGATTWAAGCAAGTTTTAGTTTTCATTTATTTCTATAATATTTATAGTATGTCTCAGCTGAAGTGATGGCATGGAGGAAGAATCATGTTTCATTCTTCTAGTTCCACCTGTTTACCATCAGGTGGCAGCTAATCTCTGATAAACTGAAGAAATGCTTAGTGATCTTTTTTCTTTCAAAGACGATAATTCTCTTTTATTTTCAGAGACATTAAAAATAAGATAAATATTTTCCATAACTCTAATACAGAGAAAGACAGACAATAATTTTTCATCTGTGTATTTTATTTCATTTTATTTTATTTTATTTTATTTTTGTGTCTGTGTGAGTTTTTGTTGTTTATTTTAGTGCATACATGCTTATGTCCCAAACTATTATCAAAACATCTCATGGACCACTGGACAAATTGTAATAAAATGTTCAGAATGTAATCTGTGCACATGTACAGTGATTAACTTTAAAATCCATTCAAGATGGCTGCAACAACCAAGTGACCTTACAAAAGAAAAAAGTTTAATGTCCAGTTAGTCTTACAATTATTGTGCTAAGTAGTGGTTGTGGTTGAGAGTCGATCACAACAGATACTCCCGAGTGCTACTCATTACACAAAATATTTACTTTATTAACTTGCTTTTTAGGTTAGCAAAATTTCTCATGAACCACTTGATGGATTATAATGAAACTCCAGGAATGTGGTCATTAAATGTAAAGTTACAAATAAATAACTTTTAATGTCAGCCCATTTTAAGATACCTGAAACATCTGATTGACATACACCAAAACAAAAATGACAATGTGTCAGTCAGTTTTATTGATATTGGACTAAACTTTGGTGTGGTAGTAGCTGAGAGTCATTCCTAAAACCTACTCAAAGTATGAAATCTTATGATATAGCATGAAATCATTTTAACAAACGTGGTTAACGCCTAATTTCTCAATATAAAATGACAATGTAAAACTCTGGCATGAAAATATTCATGTCTTTCCTTTGCCATTTTCAGTATGTACACAAATTTATATAAAAACTACCAACTGTTTTTTTTTTTGCACTTTACATTCTGCTTTCTTGTAATAAGATTTTTTTTCATTTTTTTTTCAGCCATGGAGAGCCTGGTACATTACAGTAACTCATCACATGCCCTGTCATTGTTGGGAGTCCTCAATGAGCAGCGGCTGCGGGGCCAGATGTGCGATGTGGTTTTGGTTGTGGCAGACCAGAAGTACCGGGCCCATAAGAGCGTTCTTGCCGCCAGCAGCGAGTACTTTCAGAGTCTCTTCACACAGATGGACGGCGAGTCGCTGAAGGTTGTAAATCTGGACTTCTGCGAGCCTGACGCCTTCGAGATAGTTTTGAACTACATTTACTCCTCCTCACTCTTTGTGGACAGAGGCAGCCTGGCAGCCATTCAAGAGCTGGGCTACAGTCTTGGAATCCCTTTCCTCACAAACATTGTGTCAACGAGGCCGCATGCATCCTACTGCGTGTCCAGGAAAAGGCTTTCATTCTCAGAGGGGGACGAGAACGACATCCAGACAAGGAGCGTCATTGTGTGCRGCGTCCAGAACAGCGCAGCCCACCCTGCTCTCTCAAACTGTCAGGGAAAAACTTCAGAGAGGTCATCACCTCCTCCTTCCACTCAAGGGGCTCTGCTTCCATCAGAAATCAAACCAAATAAGTTGGTCAGAAACTCAGAATCCAGTGGGAAACCTTCAGAACAGAGCGAAGCTTCTGAGAGGAAGTCCAGCTATCCGTATAGCACCATACTGAAAGGGAATCCATCACACATCTCATCTCTGAGGCCTCAGTTGACATCCTCGGTGTCTTTCAGTGATGCTGAAGTTCATCACACCAGGCCACAGTCTGACACAAAAGAGGAGAAGGATGACCTGGAGTACCACCATCACAACAAAGTGCCCTTTCAGGGTCAGTCCAGTGAGTTGAGTCAGACCACCGACAGGAGCGGCCCACTGATTAAAAGCCTTCTCCGAAGATCATTATCCATGGACAGCCCTGTTCCAGTCTTCTCTCCGACACTGGAGCTGAAGGATCTCCAAAACCGAGAACAGTCCGTGGTTAAAATGGCCTCAAAAGCTTCAGGATCAGAAACATTCATCCAAAATGGCAACTCAACAAGAGCCTCCCCTCTCGTTCTCAGGTCAAAGTACCCCAGTAGGTACGTTAAAGAAACTCAGGTAGAAGGAGACGTCAGAGTTAAAGCTGAGCCCAGCAGTCCACTAGCTGACCCCATGGACATTATCCGCATTACAGTTGGAGATGCTTTACCAGTCAGTCTCAAAGACTTGCAAACAAATTACTGCCAGGAGTCCCAGGCAGAGGTTAGTCCTGCAGTGAAGAGGAAGGACAGGCCTGACAACAGGAGGTATCCCTTCAAGAAGAACAAAGTTTTCAAAGAACATGCTGTGTCCCTCGATGCGAACATGTCTGACTCTGCACATCAGGACGCCAGCAATGACTCCGATCAGAACAGCAGGGAGCCACCGCAGAACAAGGTTTTCAAATGTTGGAATTGTTTAAAGGTTTTTCGGTCCAGCACCGGACTCCATCGTCACGTGAATATGTACCACAACCCAGAAAAGCCATACGCTTGTGAAATCTGCCACAAGCGCTTTCATACAAACTTCAAAGTGTGGACACACTGTCAGACGCAGCACGGCGTGGTCCAAAATCCAGCTTCGTCCTCCAGCTCACCTGTCCTGGATGAAAAGTTTCAAAAGAAGTTAATAGACATTGTGCGAGAGAGAGAAATAAAGAAGGCTTTGCTTTGGAAGCTGAAGAGAAACAAGCAGGGTTTGCAGCCTCCTTCACTTGCCAAAAAAAGATCAAGGTCCAATTTCATCTGTCCCTATTGTGGCAAGGTTTTTGTGTTCCAGTCTCAGTACAGACAACACTTAAGGATACATCCTGCTGAAAAGACAGAGGAGGACATGGGGAGTGAAAGTGTCCTCTACCAGGAACAGGATGAAATCATTCAACAGGAGGACACAGAACCAGGTGTTTACTCCTGCAGGCTTTGTAACGTTAAGCTGTCATCACTGTCGGAGCAGGGTGACCACGAGAGAGGCTGTCGGCACGCAACCGTTTGTCCGTACTGTGGCCTCCGCTTCTCGAGTCCAGTCATCAAGAAGGACCACGAGGCGCACTGTAAGTACAAGAAACTAACGTGTCTGGAATGCATGCGCACCTTCAAATCTTCCTTCAGTATATGGCGCCACCAGGTGGAGGTCCACAACCAGAACATGATGACGGGTAAAAACCAGATCTACCTGAAGCAACAAGAGGGCAGCGAGGAAGCGGCTGCAGCACCCGCAGAGGAGCCTTACAGTGACGATCCTGCAGCAGGCGGCAGTTTCAAAGACACTATCAGTTACAGCGACTCCCCGGGTCCGGCCATGTACGACTCTGAAGATTCCTCATCCTATGTGCCTGAGGACCTGAGCATGGGCCGCCATGGTAGCCTGGTAGTGAAGGAGGAGCCAGTCGAGGAGGCAGTGAGTGAGAGGGACAACGCAGAGACTGCTAAAGTGGGCCTTGAGGAACCCGGGGTGTGGCCGTGTGAGAAATGTGGCAGCCTCTTCAGCTCGCGCAAAGACCTGGAACGACACCAGGAGCTGCTGTGTCACATCAAACCTTTCATCTGCCACATCTGCAACAAAGCCTTCAGGACCAACTTTCGCCTTTGGAGCCACTTTCAATCCCACATGTCAACTGCCAGCGAGCCTGGAGCCAAAGAAATTGACAGGCATCCATCTTCCCTGTCTCCCTCCCCACCCCTGACCCCTAAACCCTCAGAGCGTCACTCTCCACAGACCATGGTGCTCAGATCCTCTCGGGCAGCACCTGTAGCAGTGACCATGGAGGAGGACTGCAGCAGCCCGGAGCCATGCGGCTCTGCAGCAAGCAACACAAAAAGGCCTGACCCTGATGCCGGTGGCCACGGCTCTCTGTCCCGGTCGAACAGCATGGAGAACCCAGGTGGCTCAAATGAGTCGGACACGCTGTTTTACCACGCGCCATCTCTCTCCGCCTTGACGTTTAAAAGGCAATACATGTGTAAACTCTGCCACCGAACCTTCAAGTCAGCCTTCAGTCTGTGGAGCCACGAGCAGAGTCACAACCACACGTAAGCCTCAGACGGCTGAGGGTGGCGCTCTGCACAGACGACATCATCACAAACACACATCAGCCTACACAAACAAGACTCTGAATGTATATTCGCTTGCCTCCAGTCGTATATTTTAAGGTGACCAAGTTCATTAGATGTGTTAACATGAATGTGCAATCAAGTGCTTGAGTTCATTTTGTGATGGTTATAAAAGTTTATTTTTAAATAATATCTGTTATAAACATATTTTATTTGTTTTGCATTGACCTCTGTAAGTGTTTTGACAAAACAAGTAACAGAGCTGCACTCCATTTTACTTCTGCTGTACCTTTTAACCTAAACGTGCAGCAAAAGACTGTTCTTTTAGTGTGGAAGTGCTTTAAGGTTATTTAAAGCTGCTGTTAAAAGACAAAAAAAAAGGCTCAAGCATTTATATAAATTTGTCTTTTGGTGTGAGTGGCATCTCCTAGAATAATATTGTAGGCCTCAGTAATTTACTCAGTATGCACTTTGTTTATCAGCTTGGCTCTGTTATTGGAAAATGTGAATCCTTTGTTTTTTGCTTTAGTTTACATAACTAAGGTTTTAGGTGGCAGGAGTAAAATGGTTTAACATGAGCTGTTTGCATCAAACTTAGAATTCCCATCAGTCCTCAACGGCCTTTTCTCCATTTAATAGTTTTGACTTGTGAAATAATAAAACTCAGTCTGACACACAGTGGTGATTCTTTAACAAACACACTATTACAATCCCAGTTCCAAAAAGGTTGGACAAAATGTGAATAAAAACAATGTTAGTGATTTCAAAATCTCATTACAACATAATTTATTCAAATGTTTAAACAAATTAAATAAATTGCTATTTTGGATTTATGGCAATAACACACTTCAAAAAGGTTTGGACATGTTTACCACTATCAACCACCCCTCTTCTTTTAAAAACAGTCTGTAAATATATAGGAACTTAGAACCAGCTGCTGGAAGTTTTGATGGGAATGTCCCATTCCTCTAGCTGTTCGACAGTCCTGCATCATCTTTACTGGATTTTTATTTTATTTTTTTAATGATACATCCAATGTTTTCAGTTGGAGAGAGGTTTTGGGAGAGAGGTGAACCTCTGCCCATCTTTACTTCTGAAAGATTCGGCCTTTCTAAGATGCTGTCTTTTTATTACCCAGTCTGCTTATTGTCCTGTTCGCAAAGCACGTGATTAGTTGCAAATTGATTCCTTACTTGCCTTTTGTTGCTCTTGTCCCATATTTTTGAGATGTGATGCTGCCATTATAAGTCAAAATAACCTTGATTAAAAAAAAAACTATTCCTCACTTTAATCATTTGATATGTTTAATTGTTCTGTTATAAATAAATATGAATTTATCAGACATGCAAATATTTTACATGTCCCGACTTTTTTGGGAATTGGGGTTGTGGTAGTTGTTAGTCTGATAAAAGTAAGTTTAATCCAATTATTAGATATACTGTACAAAACGTGTCTATAAAATATTCAAATATTTAAAAAAATATCATTTTTGCTGATTTTACACTATTCAGGTATTTGTCTCTTCATACAAACGGTTTCAGAAATCTCTGTACTCCATGAAAGCAACCTTTCAGACCATTAAAAAGAATGAATGCAGTTTTGGTTCTACAGGTTCCATTGATAAATATAAAAGTTCTGATAAGTTCTGGTTTTCAATCCCACTTTCAGGACCAATGACATCTGCAAGCATGACTATCATTGAAATATTCAAACAGAACTTTATGCTGCTGAATTTATTTGATAATTGTAATTCACACTGCGTCGATGGCCTTATGCAACTTTTTTTGATATTACATGAAAGCACAAGAGTTTCAGAGGACCTTTGACTCAGGCATTTTCAGATGGTGATGTCAGTGGGAGGTAAACGATGGCAAATAAATGTTTTATTCTTTAAAAAGCAACAAGTATTCCTGCTTCCTAAAGATTCATTCAAAAGATTGTGTTTTGATAGTATTCCAGTGGTTCTACAGTTGTATTCTTGTACAGGTATATACTTCTGCTTTGGCTTGGATCAGATCTTRGTCCTGATTTATTCTGACTGTTGGAGTGCTTCAGTCTGTGCTGACTCACAGAAGTTGTATTGTGATGTTTGAGTTTTCTGCAGAAATCCTATACTAATAGTGCTCTTAATCTTTGGAGAAAATGTTCTGAAGGTTTTTGCAGAAATGTTTAGACTCGCATAAACGCAAGTGTTTGTATTTTCAATTTTTGTACCAGTTTTGTTAGTAAAGAGAAGTTTTATCTTTTTACTCTTCCTGTGCTTTTACTGCAATAATGAATATTTGTATTGGTTGCATTATTGTTGCTTTTTGAGATTTTTTTGTGTTACGTTTTCTACAGGTTTTGTGCTAAACTTCTGTAATAAAGAATAACAACAGAGTATGTGTATGAAATCAGTCGTGGTGTTTTAATTATCCAAAGTGTCTGTTTTGTCCCAAAAGTTCAACATTTGTAAAATGTGAAATTGCTTGTTAGTCTAAAAATTGCAAGTGGTAGTTTCCAAATTTACTGTTTCTTTCATTCAGCTGATAAGTTGAGTTTATTATATCAGAAAATAATTCCAGTTCAATAAGATAAAGTCAAATTAAGATGTTTCCTTTACATAACATAAACCACTTT